ATTTTTGGATCTGGGATGATTCTTCTTTCAAACAGCGTGCGGTTCCGCTCCATCCAAATGACCCAGAATCCTACTACTGTGATTGTCTGGGCTACATACCCCCAGCCTTTCCTGTGGGGGAAATGTTCCGGTAGCCCTCCCAATACAACCCAGTCCCTATCCCATTTCAAGACTCCCCCAGTCCACCCTTCCCATTGTTCCGCCCACCAATCCCAAATCCTTCTTGATGCCGAACAGTCCCACCAAATGTGTGGAGTTGACTCAAATGACCAGAAGCCACTTCTATCCCCTTACTCATTAACCACAATGCCGATGGTGTTGCTAGCGGAGACGCGAGCCACAAAAGGCTAGCTGCTCTCGGGTTCGGAGCCTCTGCGAGTTGTTCTCAACGGCTTCGAAGTGCCCAAGCGATCTTTTCAGTGCCCTCTAGTAGGATACGACCCCACCTTTCTGTGGCTACCATCAGCGGTGTTCTTACAGGAATTTGGATGTCATAGGCCAGTTTTAGTGAGAACTCGTCCAGTCTTGCATGCTCCCCAAGCGGACCTCTGCTTCTCCACGTCCATTGATTCGGGTCAACCTTGCGTTCCTCAATGAGCTTACCCCCCTTCCATATCTTCACTTCCCATTCTCCTCCTTTTCTGCATCTCTCTCTTACCATCACTTCTGTCAACTTGCCTCTCATAATAGTAATATATTCCTCCTCACCCTCTAGTGCTGCTAGTTCCCCATCCAGTCCCACCATCCTCCAATTTTGCAATTTTCTGGTCCCTTCCACTCGTTGTTCCACCACCTTGAGGAATGTACGGGGTGGTGGGTCTTGGTCTTCCAAATTTGCAGACCACTGATACCAGGTCTCTGTCAGGTTTGGCTGCGACGGGGACAAAATCTGAAGCCACTCTTCTGGGAGAGATTCCAAGACTTGTAGCCTTTTTTGTCTAATATATTTACCCGGCCTGAGTTTTTCTCCAACCCTTCCTCAGAAAGCCAACCTCCTCTGAGACCATCCCAAAGATCCCTCACCCTTACTACCCCCTTTTCTGTCCACCTTCTTCCAAAGCTGTCTAACTTCTCATTTGCCATCAATAGTTTTCCTCTCAAGTCACCAATGCGGGGGTTTTCGAAAATGCTATGCGCCATCACCTCCTGTTTATTATGCGGTTCACATAGCATTTCCGGCATGACCTTCTTCAAGACGAGCAGAATGGCACCCCAGAACTCCGACTCCAGACGCCTCCTGAGGTACGATCCGATCCACGCACAAGCCCAGACGTCTGTCGGACGGGACAGTTGCCACTCCCTGTTGAGGATCCTTTCTGCAAATAAGATCCAATGTATGTCCCTACCTTCGGTAATGGCCCAAACTACCCATCTCGCCAGCATGGTTGTGTTCCTTCTACCTGGGTCGACCATACCCAGTCCTCCCTCTTGTATGGGAGCACAGATTAAGTCCCAGGCCACTTTCGACATCACCGATTCCCCTTCCTCTGTGTACGGGCGCCAGATGAACCTTGTTGCCTACCTACGGATAAGTGCTTGTGTCTTCTTTCCTATCGGTCTAACGTTACCCACAAATGAGAGAAGAGCGAACAAAGCCACATTTACTACGAGTGTCTTCCCAAATAACGAGAGGTGTGGGGCTTTCCCTTAGACCGACATTCTTTGTAGGACCTTCGATTGCAGGATTTCCTCCTGCTTGAGCCTACACGATGTAAGTGTGACTTTGACGCCTAAGAACCGTTCTGACTCGTCTCTACGAATTTTCTTCATACCTCAATAGACAACTGGTGCGTATTGTGTTGGTAGGAGATATATTAATTTCGACCAATTTATAGTTGCCTTTGACAACTTTTCGTATTGTCGAAGATAGTAACGAGGAGCCGACATTAATTCCTTCGAATTTGCGGACACCGCGAAAAGGTCATCCCCTAGTGCTTTAACCTTGCAGGCACGGCGGCCTAAATCGATACCCACTATCTGTGCATGACTCCTTATGTTGTTCAGTGGGATCCCTAAGTGCACAACAAATAGTAATGGAGCCAAGGGACACCCTTGGCGCAACGAACGGGACAGTTGGAATGACGCCGAGTTATGTCAGTTAACCATTACTGACGCCAAAGACAACGAGTACAGGGCGACTACCCAAGTACAAAACATTTCCCCCAAACTCATCCACTTGAGAGATATCAGCACATATAACTTGTTCACCCAGTCGTACACTTCTTCCATATCCAATAATAAAACCGCTACGTCCAGTTCTTCCTTGCTCACAACCTTCAACGTTTCAATCGCAGTCATGATGTTATCGTAGATTGACCGACCCCTCACGAATGCAACTTGGTCATCCTCCACCAGTTCTGACAAGTGTCTTCCTAGTCTTCGAACCAGGAGTCTGACCAAGATCTTGTATGAGACGTTGAGAAGGGAGATTGGTCTCCAATTTCGAATCTCATTTGTGTCGCCCTTTTTAAACAGTATTGAGATGATCCCTTTGCAGGAAGTGGTAGGCAGGTTTCCTCCTATCTGGATTTCGTTGTAGATCTCAACTAGGTCGTCCCCCCCCACATCCCAGTGTTTCCTGTAGAACTCCACCGGGAGGTAATCCTTCCCAAGTGTCTTTCCACAGACCATGATCTTGAGCGCGTCTTCCGCTTCCTCTTTGGTAACCGGTCGGTCCAAGTCTTGGCGGTTTTGTCTCGAGAGCCTAACTGTTGTATTATACCAATGATCTGAGTCTCTCGAGAGATCCGTGTCAGCGCCTTCCCCTTGTCTTCGCGTGGTTAAGATGTCCTTGTAGTACATTGTTGCATATCTACACACCTCTTGAGGGAGTGTCACGATCTGTTCCTCCAGTTCAAAGGGGTGTTTCAACTCTTTCATCGATGGTCCTGCCCTCACCGGGGTCAACTTCTGAAAGGACTTCTTCGACATTCTGTCGTACACCTCCAGTCCCTTTATCTTGATTCTTTCTGCCCACTACTCTAAATTCTCCTGCTGCTTCGCATCCCATTCCGTCAATCTTCTGACTCTCTCCTTACCCCATGTCAATTCCAAAATCAGATGTTGCTTCATGTTCTCCGCCTGTTGCACTTTTGCCCAACACCTTCATTCTTCCTTGTTCCTGTTGTTCGCCAAAATGCGGGAGGAAACATCCAACAATTTAGACAAAGTTTTTATCCCCGTGTCCCACCAATCTACCAACGAGGCGAAGTTCTTTTTTTGTCGTTCCCACCGTATCCAGTAGTCCTGTGTCCATTTGCAGAGTTGCTTCTCCCGTAAATTCCACGTATTTATCTTAAAATACCCCCTGCCCCTCGTCTGCTACAGACCCAGATTAATACCCCAATGATTGGCTTGCGGTTTGAAACTAAATCGTTGGTTTCTGAGATGCTAACGATCCTCTCTTTAATCTTACCTCCTGTTAACAAGAAGTCTAACCTCCTCCCCTTACCCCGTTGGGAAAGCCACGTATGGTCTTCCTCCACTGAGTTTAAGTCCCGGTACACGTCCTGCAACCCCAACTCTGCCATCAAATCAATTAACGACAACACGTTTTTCGGGGCTCCTGTTGCAGCTTGATTGTGAGGGGTGTCTCATACCATATTCTAGTCACCGCCAATCACCACCTCATGTACATCCGGAAGGACCACCCTCAGTTCTTCTACGAAGAAGCATCTTTCTTTTCGATCTACTGGGGCATATACCGATACCATCGCCCATCTAAGCGCTCCTTGGAATAGTACAACCCAAGCTCACCTGCCCAAAAGGTCAACATAATAATCTTCTATCGTAGCATCTAGATCTTTGTGTAGCAAAATGCCCACGCCTTCTTTCGTTCCCAGTGTTGCAGCCCAGATTCGTGGGTTGTCCCACCATCGCCCCAACGGTTCGATCTTCTTATCGTTCATCTTCGTCTCTTGCAAATAAGCACTTCCAAGACACCCTGTTCTCATGCAACCATGTCTTGACCCTTGCTCTCTTGCTTTTTCCTATCGTGTCACCAAACCCCTGTGGATTCCATGATGTGATTTTAACTTTGACCATTTAGGGTTGAGATTTCTCGTTGTTCTTGGATGTGGGCTTGGATGGTCCTCTCAATCTGCCAGGTGGCAAATAATGCCGTCCTCATGAAGTTAGAATCCAATTTCTCGTCCTTCGGCAGCCTGGTCTTGACCTCTTCCAAGGCGTCCGCCGTGATCATGAGCGGGGTGATCATTAGCTTTGAGAGTTCTTGCTTTGTCACTTCTGCAAAAATTGAGAGCGGCACCAGCCGTAAGCCCAACCCCTCCAGCTCCGTGAGTTTAGCCTCCGTCAACCTCGCATCAATCAGAGGAACGTGTAGTTTAGTCTTGTTGTCGGTCGGGCCCAACAGGATTTTCGGCATGACCACGTGTGGAATGATTCTAGTTGGGAAGGCGTCCAGGTACAGTGTCCTCAGACAATTCATGATTTCCGTCGTCGTTGGCACATCCGAGATCATGTGGCCAAAGATAGATCACGACTCTCCTCCTTTTTGCCACGTAATCACCCACTCCGTGTTGCGAAATGTCATGCATGTGAGTGTGACGACGAATTGTGGCATTTAAGCCAGACGACAGTCCCTCGTGGTCTTCTGTTTTGAGGTTCCGATCCCTACTTCCTGACCAACAAACTTCTTCGATCCGCTTATCGACAACCTTGATGTGCCCGCGGGTTCCGGTGTGATCTCCACCTGGGACGTTGTACTGAGACGTCTTTGCTTTCCTGGAGGGTGTATCTTCGACCTTTCCTGAGAACTTGCTGTTGCATCGTCCGCCAGTCTACTTCCTCATGCTTCTCCTCCACGCCCACCTCCAAATTGGGTTGCGGAAAGACTGCTCCTCGTGCCCCTTCGGATATTGGCTGGTTTACCTGTACGACAGGCGTCCCTAGCCCCGAAGTCATTGGCCACTTTCCCGCCTGACCTGGTTGTCCCACAGGGGGGACCAACCCTTGCCTGTCTAACAATCCCGTCCGAAGCGCCGGGTGTATCCCATTTGTTAGAAGCCATTCAACGACGACACCACCCTGCCACACCGCTTGCAGTCCTCCTTGTGTTGGTGTCATCCCCGGTTGACCTAGGCCTTCCCCGGGTCCCTGACGTCCCCCGGGTTGCTCTGTCGGGATTCCAACTGACGTGGCTTGGTGTAGCCCTCCACCGAAGAGTCCTGCCTACGTACCTCCACCATGTTGATGACTTTCCCTAGCGATGCCATGTGGGGAGAACGTCGGGTTACTGCGCACCTGTCCCAAGTGAGTGACCCCTCTAGGGGTACCAGATCTCGCCGGTCTCGATTCCAACGGGCCTTGATACCTGGGTGCTTGACCCCCTCCAACTCAGGAAGTTGTTGGACCCTGCTGGTGTGTTTGATTTTGTCTCGCATGCCCTACCATGCCTCCGCCTATTCGTACACCCCCTCCACGTCAGCAATCATGTTGCGTATGAAAGAACTGCCAGCAGATCCTGCACTTCAGCGAGTCTGAATTTGCCAACTTAATCTCTAGGACATCTCCTTTCGCCATTTCCACCCACAACACATCCGTCACGTTGGGCCTCGCTTCTGGCTCTAGATCAAATCTTGCGTTGACCAGCACCGATCTCGAGGGATCCACGTCCGTTGGGTGCACCATGATTATCTTGCCAATTGCCCTCTCAATCTGAGCGTAGATAAATGTCATATCATCTAATGGAACCTGTAGCGTCACAACCCAAACCACCCTGTCCTCCTCCGGTCTCCTTAGATCTCTAAACTCTTCTCTTGCCATCCATGATTTGGAAAGAATCTTGTACGCTTCTGCTCCCAACGTTATCTCCACCTTTCCTTCAGTCTTCATGAAGTTCGCTACCTCTCTTGCTTTCGCTACGTAGGAAGCCACCCCGGGTCCTTCGATCTTCAATCTCCCTCTTCGAGTGTTTTCCTGCAGACTCTCGTTCCCTATTACCCATCCATCCTCAAAGGTGTGAACAAGATCGTCCTTGATATTCTTAGCGAGGAATCTGGCGGCCTCCTTAAATATCACAGTTACTGTGCGTTCCTTGAACCATTTCACTTCAATCTCATCGAGCGATGTGTTTAGTCTGAATCGCACCTCCCTCCCTTCCACCACTATCTCCCCAGGATCGATCTCCGTAGGGTACACTCCATCATCATAGCACATTGTTAACAGGCTTCTGATTCTATCCTCGTCTTCCCAATAATCCCTCCCTTCTTGGGGACCCGTAGGTGGGGGACCTACTGGTCCCTACTGGTCCTGGAGTACACTTCATTAGCCTTTACTTTACTTAACCTAACCACTTCTTTTGATAGCCTATACACTCTACTTCCTGTCTCTTATACACATCTAGATGTGTATCCCCCCCCCCCTTTCCCCCCCTCCCTCCCTCGCTCCCCTCGAATCACAGAATGTTTGTCCACCGTATTTTTAGGAGTACCTGACCTGAAAATTGCCCTGAATACAGAGTATTGCAAACATAATAACCCCATGGGCCATGGGCTCATTTCAGGAAGAAGGCGGTACACACAGCACAGCACAAAGGGCTGCATTCTGCAACTAATGTAATCTGGCTCAGCTTCCCTCCCTTCCATCCACTATTGATTAACGGGGACCCACCCCCCATTTTCAGCTCCTGGCCAACGGGCCCAAAACTGAAATTAGGGTTTGGGGGTCAATTTTTTTGGTGTTTTCGATCCATATACCTATGCGTCGTGCAAGGATCTCCTATCGATTTATGGGTTAACGGGGACCCCCCATTTTTGCTACTAAGCAACTCCAACCAACCAAGCCAACTATCAGTTCGACAAGCTCTCACTGACTTTTTCGCTTTTCCATGTTGATGTAGCATGCATGCAAACAACGGGCCCAAAACTGAAATGTAATTTGACTTCGAAGTCAGGAAGAAGGCGGTATACACAGAACGGGAACTGACTTTTTCCCTTTGACTTTGAAGTCGAATGTCTCCACGAACGGGACTGAAAACAATGAAGCTACCATGTTGATTGGTGCAAAGCAATCTGGCAAAGGAAATGCCAGGAAACGCATAACACGGGTATAGCTGGAAAGAAAGAAGAAGAAAAAGAAAAAAGGTTTAAAAACGGTGAGCCAACTCGCAGAAAGAGGACATATATACATGCAGATAAGCATCCCAAATCAGGCGGCAGATTTTAAAAATTAGTTTAAGAAAAAAAAATGGAGAGAGCCTACCCCGAAGATGACCATCTCGCCCACAAGATCCGAAGCCACTGCGACTGCCCTCTCCTCATTCAACGGCTTGATTTCTAAATCCGTGGCTTGCCCATATAGTCTCCGCTGCAGTTGTACATTCGCCCTATGATAAGCCTGGGAAACACACACACACACACACACACACACACACACACACACACAC